TACTTTTGATCTTGTTTTCCATATGTTTATGTAAACTACCCTAAATCCTTTATAAAATAAGGTGGAGTACAGAGAAACAAATAAATATGGAACTTCACATTATATTTCATGCTCAGAGTTACAGATAGATTTTAATACATATATTACCTTTATATCCTTGTTCTGTCTCCCTGAGATCGATTTTGGTTATTGGTTTGAAATCAGTATCCCACAGTCGTATACACCCATCTCGCCCACCGGTGGCAAAGCCTTCTTCACAAGCATACATGCTAAAGATTCCCGCCTGTTGGTTAAGTAGGCAATACTCAATGTTGCAGCCATTTTGGATAGTCAGTATAGTTAAATCTCAATTTAAAAAAATAGCAAAACAAACCCATGGTTCTCTGTTGCAATACTGACAATGGACCAAGTTGCCATTTATAATACTCTTTATCACAGCTAAGTTTAAAAATAATCACAATTACTACCAAAGCAAACTAGTTCAAGTGCTCCTTTGCCGTTAACTAAACGGCAGGCTATAAAAAAAATTCCAGGATAACTTGGTTAAAGCCATATGGAAATGATACATTCTTTTATGTGACAACTGAGTCTTACAGAGAAAAGACAGCTATGGAGGTGTTTCATATAAGTGGCTGCCCAAAATAATTAAGAGATGAGGGTTAGGAACATAAACACTTTTACAGATGGCCAAGGTGCCTGAAACCCATCTCAATAAGCTCAGGAAGGCTTCACCCGAACCTAACTGAAAGGTCAACTAGCATTTGTGTTGGATTGTTAAGCATCATCTGAAGATGCTTTTCACAAGGGAAATAGGTTTGTAATTTAAAGATGTCCTTCCACAGGAAAATACCTTATCTGGTTTGTTCCAAAGGGCTGCAAGAATATAATGTTGACATAAGAACCAGCATAAAGAGAAATTAGGTTACTAATGCAGCTGCTTTTATGAATGAGGACAATACTGACGTTTTAATTGTTTTGAAAGCTGTTTGATAATTAGCAAAGCCAAGAAAATTAGTTTGCAACATACAAGACAATGAAAGATCTAAAATTTCATAGGTCTTTTGCTAGGAGTTGCTTAAACTTTTCTTCATATTATTAAATAAGAGTAATAGGGAATCAGGTTGGAGGCAATAAGCTACAGGTCTGTTGAGTTTCCAACAGCATTTTACCCGATCTCCATTCGCTACAGTAGGCTTTACTGACTACACCATCTCCCCATTCTCCTGGACGTTTCCACTTTGTGGACTGTGGATATAACAATGTAACCATTCTCACGTGTGTCAAAAAAGAGCAGCGTGGTAAGAAGTTTGCCCTTGTTCTTATGGAACAGACCATAAGATAGAAGGTTCTCGATGGCTTCTGTTTGCATTTTAAGAGCTTGTGACACTAATGTGAAGGTCACACCCTGCACCTCGACATACAGAATGAGAAAAATCTACCTTACCAACTGACATAAAAGCAATAGTTGTCTACATTCTTCCTATTCAAAGTATGGACCACTGATCGGCAGCAGTGACATCATCCCAGACCTACTGAGACAGAATCTGCATTTTAACATGAATCCCTGGAAATACATAGGCACATTAAAGTCTGAGAAGTGCTGGTCTGTAAGATGAAACTGATGATGAAATAGTTCTAGTCTTCTGTCGAACTGCTGCCAATGAATAACACTAATCAGCAAATCAACAGTTAAGGTGAAGGCTAATTAAGTTATGATGCTTTTGAAATATACTTTCTTTTAGGTGAACAAACATAATTTGGAAAATCTTCATAAGTATTTTGGAAGTGTTTAGCAGAGTCCTCTGATTCTAAAGCAATGGGGAAAATATACAGGGATTTGTGGTCTTATTTAATAAATCATCCCAAAACTTCCACGTGGCAATACTTACACTATGTGCTCCTTGAATGGTGCGAACTAAATTGAGCCCTTTCCAGACATAGATGTCACCATTTAAAGCACCAGAGTAGGTGATGTCTTCTTTGGCACATGCAAGGCAAAGGATGGTCTGAAGATCCCCTGTTTTGCCAAATATTCCTCTTTTTGCAGTCAGGGCATTTCCACATAGTGTCCAAAACTAGGAAGCAAGTGATAAAATAGATCTGAAAATAGAGTATTCTGATGTATTGTGTTATTGGTATTTGTTTATACTTCAGTACATTTTACATGATTTGCTAAATCCAGACTAGCCACAAATAAGTTAACTTGCTTTGTTGTGACAGCACAGAATCACAAAACATTTTAGCCAACTACTATGAGCATGAGAAAAACCTATAATCTTAGGAAATATCTCACTCAGCACCGGGAAAGATTCCCCTTCACTAGAACGGTGGGTAAGTTTCCATCTGGTGGATGCCATGACTCGTGGTGCTGAGCACCCCGCCCTCAGCGCTGACCA